CTACTATCGCTGCCACCATTACCACTACCACTACCACCACCACCATTTCCACCATCTCCACCACTACTACCATCGCCGCCACCATTACAATCACCTCACACCACTACCATCGCCGCCACTACCACCACTTCCACCACCACTACAACAACTACTGCCGAAATCTTACTATTTTTTATAATTTATATAATATATCTTTACATATAAGTTAGAAAATAATGTAAAATTAAGCAAAACGGACAAAAAGGGTAATTCTATCATTTTACATGATTCCAATTCCATTTCGTGAGAATCAAATAGAATCTGAAATTAATTCTAATTCAATTTCCTACTAATCAAATAGGATATGGAATTGACTTCAAATTCCTGACAAATTCATTTTCCAATTCCAATTCCAGTTTCTTCTGAAACATTATGCGAACCAAAGAACACCTAAAAAGGTAGAAAACTACAATTAGTGGCGATGATGAACATTAGGCATGACAGTGAGCATTAGTACCGACGAAGCATTAGTGGCGATATAGAGCATTAGAGGGGAGATACCTTTAGCGGCGACATCGACAACAACCAACAGCGGCAACCCTTTAGCGGCCCATGTCTCCGCTAATACCTTTAGTGGTGACATTTGTACCTTTACTGGCGACGCCCATCGCCACTAAAGTTCGATATTGTTGTATTACAAAAAACCTTTTGGAATTCGTGTAATATAATAACGGAATTCATTAATAAAAGGTAAGAACATTAAGATGCTTATGTTCTTCAACATAACGCGCATAAGATATTTAAACTTTGTAAAACAACTGACAATCTTTTCATGTTTAAAGCTTCGATTTCAGCACAAAGTTTTCAAAGATGCACTTTTTTCTTCATGCTTTTCAATGACCCGATACTTATGAAGGCATGTTTACAAATAATCACCTAACGTAGTACCAATAATTAATTGCTAAAAGATCTAGACGATATAATCGAATATGATCTTTTTGTTGTGGTAACACATTGATATACTTCCGGGAGGTCATATATAAGTATATGATGTAACTAAAGAGAAACATCAAATACTGAAGAATACCTTCTAATATTACAAAATAGTCTTTTATATAACTTTGATGCTTTTGTACGTTTGGCAAAAAAATAGAATTTAAAAGTAAAATGTGATATTTTGAAATCCTCTTACGTTAGTAATATTCTTGATATTCACGTGATTAGATAATATATAGAAAACAAAAAAGGGGAGTATCTTGACAATTATGGAAAGCTCGATATAATGGATATCGGACATGAAGGCAGTCAATTTGCTTATCGGTGGCGGGCGAGACCATTTCTTGTTCTGGTCTCAGGCTCTGCTGTTCATCTCAGACCAAAAGTCTTGACTGCTGAAAGTTTTCCTTCAAGGAAATTTTCAGTTTATAGGGTTTAATTCATCATAATCAAGTTGCTGTGAACAAGTTCGAAACAATCAATTATATATCACATCGATTGCAAACTAATGCAAGGGTACAATACATTGCTAAATCAAAGTACAACAACGTGAACATCTGAACCAAGTTGATGCTCAACAATCACCTAAACTGAGAAAGAAATGCTACTGAAGTGGGAAATCACATTGTAAAGCAAACATAATAAGTAAAACGAAACTCGTAGACACAATGAATGTAGGGAGGTCTTTGGCAAATTCTTCCACATTTCTAGGCACAAATGAAATCCTTTGGGAGCTCTTTGCCACAAGTGTTAACAAGCAAGCTAAGTGAGATAGGGATATTAATGTTGATCCCTAGAACATTGGCTTTCAAAGCAGTGCAAAGGCAGGCTGCGACTTCAAGGTCGAGAAGGCCACCAAGGGCTGAGCAGCAAGGGTGGTCCGGTGGGTTACCAATGACAGTCCCAATGGAATCATTAAGCAACTTAGCACACACACCCAGTTTCAGGGCATCCCTAGGGCAGTTTCCCTTTGGAGCAATGGGTTTTTCAGGCAATGGAACAGATGGAGTGTGGCAAGTGAAGCAAGCCTGTGTGGCTGCAAAGAAGAGGATGTTAATAGTTAGGAAGAGAGTGGAAGATTTGTTGAAAGCCATTGGTTCCAACTGTTGGCCAGAATTTGATTTACTTGGAAGGAGGGATGTAAGGTGAGGTTTCATATGTGATTGTAGGGTTTATATAGATAAAATTGAGTATTTTATTAATAGGAACGTGACTCTACATGATACACATTTTAAAGGATGGAGTAGAAGCTTATCCTATTATTAGAGATCCCTAACATGCATGTGAAGGAATGCAGGAACTAGTTTCATTGGATGGTACTTTAAGACAAGATACTGCACCAAATTCAAAGAGAATCTTTGCTCCGGTGTTCGGCCCAAATGGGAATAATGAATATTTTCATGACGAAAAGAAATAATTTGGTTAAATGTTTTCTAATATTTTATAAACGAGAGCCCACAGTAATAACATGTAACTATGTAAGAGCTTTGCTTGGCGTGATGTCGGACACGGATGTTAGAATTTGATCCATCAAATATTATATATTACTATTACTGAGAAACAAAAAATATTCTTTCATCATTTCTTTCATAGAGGCTGTACTTCGTTTAATAATCATGGTCCAGCCATTCTATTTAAAATGTTCACGGAAATAAGAGTCTTGATGTACGCATGTATTGGTCAATTAATTTACCTTCTTTTTTGTTTTAGTCTTTTATTGAAGATGTACCTTTTATATTTAGGAAACATAAAGAATGTTATATAATTACGTGTGATCCAGATAACCTACAAAAATTAATATATTTAGAAATAGAAGTACTCCACCCCGTGACTAAAAATGCCATAATTTGTAAATCTGATCCAGGTTGGCTTAGCCAATCGAGGAGACTCATTATCAAGACACTAATTAATGATTTCTTTTAGAAATAATTGTTTTAATATATGATGTGTGGATTTATTTTAATAGAATTGATGCATTCATCTTTTTCAACCGTACCAACAAAAAATCCAATATACCTTTATAGGAGTGAGCAACTGGACCCAACCAGACCTAATCGACTCTTCTACCAGACTGGTTTGACAGACATTGATAGCTCTTAGACTGGACCGATTGAGGCCGATCCGATCTAGGTCCGGGTTTTTCGATTCTTGTACATGTTGGACCAGTATAACTTTAGGTGCATATAGTACAACTCGTTGAAGCCCTATCAAAAGTTAATTATCTATTACGACTGTAGGAGTAAGTATTTGGACCGAACGGAACTGGAATCGCACTGGACCGGTTTTTCAAAAATTAGTGGACCTTAGACTGAACCTATTAAAGTCCTGTCTAGAGATCCAAATGCTCACTGTAACCGTCGTCATAAAAATAGATGTTAGCAGTGGCGAAGCCTGAAATTTTAGATAGCGGAGCTTAGACTTACACCTTGATATATATATATATATATATATATATATATATATATATATATATAGAGTTAGGTTAAGTTATTGTATTCTAACTATTTATTGTGTGGCTGTGGGGTTGATTATGGACCAATTATTTAAATTATTTTAACAAAGTGATTAATGAATATTATTGAATTAAAAGTAAGTGAAAAATATTATCTAATTTTACTATAAGGGTACTTTAGTCAATTGAGAAAAAATTTAAAAAAGGAAAATTCCAAAATTTTGGGGATAATTAATTACCTTCAATTTTAATTCTTATGTAATTTTTAATTAAACCCGATTTCGTTCTAACAGAATGACATTCTGTTAGAATGATAATATCATTCTTCAAACAAAATAACAACATTTTTTATTGAATGAATTTATCGAAGAATAACAATTTTTTGGATTCAAGGTAAAAAATTTCATCATATTCTTAAAAAAAATTATATATTATTCTATAATAATGAAACACTCACTATCAACAAATAAACACAATTTATTGATTATTCTACCTAAATATTCTACCAAAATATACTAGTATTACATATTGTCTTATCATTTTATTGTAAATTATTCTGTCAGAATATAACGATGAATAGTGCTTTCACTAGTGACCAATGTCTATCTCCATCCCACACACCATCATCCAACCTTCATGCCCTTGATCATCATGTGCCATTCATTCATTGTATAAGAATAACTGCCATGAAATAAAGCATTCTATGAGAATAGTAGTCATGAAATCGAATTATGTAAGAATAACATTTTGTGTGAACGCTTTTATATGACAAATATTAAAACGAACTTCAGTAGTTCTGACAGAATGAATACTACATGGTTAGATTCTCTTTCATGCATTTTCGACAAACACCTGTCGTGCAACATATGACCCGATATCATATGAAAAATATATTGTAGCATCACCATGGTAAAAAAATGAAAATGTAAAAAAATACTTGATTAATAACAAAACAATAAAATTTAGCCAATAGGGGTATATTTGTAATTTGTCCAACATCAGATGATTGAAATAATGCCATAATGGGTATACATGTTCTAGTTTCCAATAGCCTCTCCACTTCCAACTCCTAATCCTTCCTAAACTAACTTCAAAAATCAAGAAAAAAAATAATCAGATGATGAAAGTATGCGACTAATGATAGAATTAAGTCATGGAAATGTACTGAACTTGAGCAACATCTTGCCTATTCCAACATTCAGTTGTGCTAGCTATCCAACCCAAGAGAATTGGGTTACATTCATTTAATTTGAACTCAAAATTCAAAAACATGAAGAATTACACAATATAAGAAGTTTGAGATGTTATTATTTACCTATCTCAAGAAACATTATTGGTTTACTTTTAACTGGACCATGATGAGTAGCCTCCAAAGTGATCTACAACATCTAAGTTGAAAAGAGTATTTATGTTACTAGCTAACAACATATATTGAACCATAATGTCAAGATATCTTACTGCAAATTAGGTTAGAGTTGTTTTCCAGTATTGTAGATGATTCATGAGGTATCATGTTCAGGACAAAAGTGCAAGTGGGATGTTGATTTAGTGAAAAAATTAAGAATGTAAGATGTTATGAGTTTCTTGCTAGAATTGAAGTTAAGAGTACCTCGAATTCAGGAACCAAGTTATGAGATTGGGCCAGTTTTTTTAAGAGTATCAACCATGGTGTCATTCGAGGGTTAGGAATTGCTGCCCATCCAGGTTTTCCTCCTTGTGGAGGAGCATGTCCTTCTTTTAGATGAGGAAAACCTAATCAAATACATGATAAGAAGCTTAGAATCGACTAGTGAATCATGTTAATGGCTAACCATTAATCATTAATGAACAAATTAGAGTAATACCGATTGGGTGATTGGTGAGAGCAGGGCGATTAGTGACGGCGGTGTGTTTGCTGAGGAAGATGATCTCATCAACAACCTCGCATGTAGCCTCTTCCCATCGATTATCTAAATGATCCTCCTCCACTATCCCTTTATCGTGCTCCAGTAATCTCACATCTCCGTTTACTTGGCTTTACCAAAAGTTTATACAAAAAAATTCTAGTTTAGAAAGGTATATGAATTAGGGACTATAAATGGAGGAGAGGTATTGGAAGTAGAGAACAATAACTGAAAGGATACACCGGGGTTCCAATTTTCCATGGCTGAGAGCGTTGTCGCCGGTCCATACAACGTCGGATCGGTGGTTGTTGCCATCACTAATGTCACCATGTTCTATTTGATGCTAGTTGAGTATGTTGGGTTTAGTGATGGTGGAAATGAGAATTTGATGATTGATTAGTTTGGGAGACACATCATCGATGGAGGCGTAGAGGGGTATATCAGACGGAGTCGATCGATGGTAGGGTTGGATTGAAGAAGACGATATGAATTGGTGGTAACATATTAGGCACGATTTAAGGGAAATTAATCCAATATTTTAGGAATTTATTAAATATTATTTAATAATTAAAATTAATTAATAGATAAGATTACAACTTTACACTTATTTAGGTTTTTGAAATAATTGCCCTACAATCATTCCTACATCCACACAATAATTAGTTAGAATATTTACCTCTCTCTCTCTCTCTCTATATATATATATATATATATATATATATATATATATATATATATATAACTAGGTTGAAATGTGGATTGACATCTATTGTGCGGACGTGTGTACAACGCTATTCTGTAAAAATGACAAAGAAAATATGTTGTTTGTGTTGGATTAGATGTCTAAGCCCATGACTATTATTGGTATGTACTCGACCCGAGAGTACCATGGTCCATTTGAGTTGCATATCATCAGGACAATTTGTTAGGATGGACTTTTAAGAGAAGGTTAATTATCGTTTATTAATATATTATAAGTTATAATATATTAATATAAAATCATATGTTTTAATTAGTATTGATCAAGAATTAATTCGGAATTAATTTATTTATCAAAAGAGACTAATTAAATCTATGGGGACTAATTATGATAATTAGTTATATTTATATGTGTTGGGCTTATGATCCATGTTGGACCAAGTTTATGTATTGATACATAAAGAGTTGGGCCACATGAACCATGGATCATAAAACCCATGGGTATGGATTTGGGTTATACCCATGACCCTTGGAATCCACACATATAAATACATGCTCTTAGCCTAAAAAACACCACTTGAGTCATTCTTGGAGTTCATGGTGTTTTTGGGTGTATGGAATTCTCTCTCAAGTTCCTCCTTTGTTCATGATGTATTGTGATTCCACTTGAGGCTTCCACACTATTCGGGCTAAGATCTTTAAGGCCAAATACATCATGACTTCAAGCTCCATCAAAAGGTATGTTATCCTAACTAGTATATTATATGGTTTATATCAAATGCATGCTAGTTGTAGGTTTAATACCTTGGAAACCATTTGCATGTATAATTAGTGAAAACATAGATCCAAGGTATTTAGGGTTGCATGAACACCTTAGGAGTGTTAGAATGCTCAAAAACCAACAGTGGTATCAGAGCCTAGGCTTGTTTTGAAGTTATACATGCTGAAATAGCTTAAAATCGAAAATTCTGGCTTCCTGGGCACTGGACTCGTCGAGTCCACTGATGGACTTGCCGAGTCTATGAAGAAATTCATCCTACTCGTCGAGTAGGTTCATACACTTGACGAGTAGAAGCCCCTGACAGCATATTTTCGACTTTTAAGGCAAGAATTGGTCTAGAATCATTACCTTAAACTGTTTTGGACTTATAAAACCTGTTTTTAATGTGATAATGATTATGGTAAACCAATTTCAAAGTTGTTATCAAAGTTTCAAGTTTTATATATGTTTATATGATTCTTGAAAATTTGTTGATATGGATTGTTCATGCTTATGAGTTTTGGTAGATCATAGGAATTATGTGCAAATTGTTTGTTAGTGTAATTCTTGATCTTAATGACATTGTATGGACTCCATAACCTGTCCTTAAGTTATGGATTACCTAAAGCTTTTGTGTCACCTTGTTTTATGAGTTAGTTTAGATTAATGGAAAAAAAATTACGTGTTAGTTGTTTTCAATCCAAATTGATCTAAGAGTAGTTCATAAAATGTGTTTTTGTAACTTGTCCTCAAGTTATATGAAAAATCACATTTATAAATCTTAAAACTCATAAAAGTGCCATAGGTTACAAAATGAAGAGTCTTTTTCTCATAAATAGTTTTATGGACTTCATAACTTGTCCTCAAGTTATGGATATTCAAGAGTCTATTCATTAAAGTTTTTAAAACTTTAATTAAACTCATAAGTTATGAAAATCCAAGAGTTTGAAAAGTTTCAATACCTGCCCTCAAGTTTTGGAATTTGCAAAGTTACCTCCCCATGTATACTTTAATTCCAAATCAAACCCTAGAATTTTAAAGGTTTAAAATTCAACCCTTATACTTTTATTATAATTTTAATTATATATATATGTATAAGATAAAGTCAATCTTACCGTTAGTAGGCCTCATTCACGAAGCCGGTCTATAAGGGGGGGTATAAGGTTACTGCCTATAAAATGACAGTTTAATGGGTGTCCACTCTCACCCACCGCTTCCTTGACTGGTGGAGGGTCGTTAGCCGAACGGGTAGGATAAAGACTATAATTCTCCCTTCATTAAAAGTATAATGATAAATACTAAGTAACTAAACACTTATAAATTCCCAATCGTAGTTACTTAGGAAAATGTGAAATGGTGCTAACCCATGAAATTACACTTTGCACCTTTGTTAAGTCGTTAGTGGAGTGTGTGTGGTTAACTGGAATACTAACATGGGACTGACAATGTGTGGCGAAGGGTAACTTAAGTTTATCATAGATTGGTGGAGCGCGTGTGGTTAACCGACACATCAATTAGGTGATAAAGTTGAGGGTACCAAGTCAATTTGCATGGTTATTCACACCTTGTTTGTGATCCTCGGCATCCCAGTCACAAACTTGAGAGGGCACAATCGAGATTCAAACATGCCATTGAAAGTTCAATGTATCTCAAAAGATCTAGGAGTTTCAAATCCAGTTAAAACTTAATTATATTTCGTTTTCATGGTGGAAATTGGTAAATCGTCATTTACCTACCTTCAACTATTTTATAGTTTGGATTACGGCATCCCTCTTCCAGTTATAAATAGGTTGTTGGGTCCTAGTCTTAATATTTCATATTGGGTGTTATGTTAAGGACTTTAAATGAACTAAACTTGAATTTCTCCCTCATAAATGTCTATTTTAGACAATTATGGTCTTCCCAAATCTTTAGGAACAAGCCTTCCTAATGAAGATGATATCCCACGTGGCAATCAAGGTGAAAGATTAATCCCTTTGTTGTGCATTAATGGGACTGGAAATCATGCTTCACTTCCTCCACCTCCTTCAATAATTCTCCCTATCCCACAAGTTTCAAGACTTGAAAAGTTCTAAGTCACTCAATCCCTATTGGCAAGCAAAGACTATATGTGCTTACATCTTAGAGGTTAAGTCACATATTGGCAAGCCGGGAGAGTCGGGTGTCGAAGTCTCGAGGTAGCTGGCTGTCGACTCAGTTCTTCAGTCACACCCTGATGACAGATCACGATATGAACCTTAGTGATCTTAACTATTTGCTTGATGCTGCTAAATTTGCAATGATTTGGAGCACTGGTAAAGCAAATTTGATTGATCTGCTTCCCAAAACTTCCATGGACATTGACAATGGTAACATTAGAAGTTCAGAAAAGCTTTCTCTTCCCAATAGAAAGGGATTGGCCATGGTCAAGTCATTTGACCAATGGTAAAGAGAAAGGCTAAGTCTGAGACACTCAAGTGTACCATTTCCAAAAGGTCCATATGTTTCTTTTGCCAAAAGAAGGGGCATTGGTTGCGAAGCTGCCGAGTTTACCTAAAAGTTCATAAGGATGGTGAAAGTCAAAAAGGTTTGACTTTGCTTCAGGTTAAAGTCCATTATCTAACTCTATGAAGTCTCTTTTGAAGATTCTTAATACATGATGTAATGTAATTACATTTTGATGTTTTGGAAGAATCAAAGGAAGCTTAAAGAAAGAGTGTGCTGATTCTGATCGCGAAGATGGATTTCGATCTCATGGTTCAATGATCAGAATTTTGAGCTGCTGCTTAAGAGTTATGATATGTTGCTTAGGAATAGATAACAACATGTTTCTTCATATGTATTTGCATTGTAAGGATAAGATTTTTCCGCAAAGTTTAAAAATAAAAGAAAATTTTGATTTATTTATTTTAAGTATCCTTACAATGGCATTTGTGAAAAATTGTTGTTTATATGTTTCCATTGATAAGCAGTATTGGAAAATGGATTTGATTCTTTCATTTGTGGTAGTGTCATAATTTACCAAATAAGGAAAGATTCTCATCACCCAAGTTTCAGTTGGATAGAAACTTGGAATTTTGCAACTTGTATTATGTGATGAATGAGAATTTTCATATTTAGGAAATTAAGACTAAGTCCTTGTTCACATGTATATGTGAGTCAAGAGAAGGACTAAAGGATCGGGTACATTAGGTTGTGCGCTGGTTAGGTCCACCACAAAGGTTGATAAGATTATTCGTTATGATTTACTAAAGTTTAGTAAATATGGTTATGCTTACAAGTTTAAGTGTAATTCTGAAACATTGAAAAGTTTCAATGTATGGCAGAACAGATGAGAAGAATCAAATAAGGTAGAAAGATAAAAGTTTCTCCAGAGATGGAAGAGTACTTGAGTATCCTGTTTTATGATTATCTTAGTGATTATGGAACCATATCACAATTGATTCTATAAGGACACCTTAGTGCATTTGTTTGGCGAAGGAGGGGAATCGTGAATTGTTGAAATGGTTAAATCAAAAGATAAATCATACTTCGTCCCAAAATCAAGTCTTAGAGTCATACGCCAAGATTGAGCCTTGAGTGACATAATCTTAAGAAAGGTTCAAAACACTTGTCAAATGTAGAGTAAGATGTTTCCTATTCTTGTACATTTAAAGTTGGTTAGTTATGATGTTTTGGATAAAACGAAGACCAACTAAGACCAATTGTATTGTATGAAGTGTTTAACTTGATAAGAATCTGCACTAACTCCTGAATATTTGTTTTGTCAAGGGATGGTTCTTGACAAGAGAATCTTATATGTCAAGAGGACAGTGGGAGTCATAAAAGATCTTGAGATAGTTTCAAGAACTAATCAGGAGTATTGTTTAATCACTAGCACACGACTTGAGGT